ATGGAAACACCCATGTCCCCCTTGACTTTGGGGCCTTTCAAATTTAGATCAATATCTGGAATGGAGATTTGTGGAGTTTTTATATGAGGCCATTTTAGTTGATCAGAAGAACTCTTGATGCCAATGCCAGGAGCAGCAATGTCCATTTTGGGGCCCTTGATGTCAATCTGTGGGCTCTTCAGGTTGCTTTCCAGTTTGGGCACAGAAACATCCATATCACTCTTTAATGATGTCCCTTTTAGGCTCAAGTCAACATCTGGCACAGCAACTTTGATTGGGGTAGGTTTCCCAGAGGGCATTGAGATTTTTGGACCTTTGAATGGTTCACCAAGGTCAACATTGGTGCCCTCAATACTCATGCCAGGCCCTTTCAAGTCCCCTTCAAACTTTGGCCCCGAAATATATACAGCTCCTTTTCCTTTGGGACTTTTAAGATTCAAGTCAATATTTGACATAGAGATTTTGGGTGTCTGTCCACTAATCTCAATCCCTCCTTTTGGAACATTGATATCTGCTGCAGGGCCTGAAACAGAAAATTTAGGAATATCCATATGGTGTATTTTGAATTTGTCTTCACTGCCTTCAAATCCAATGTCTGGAGCCCCAAAATCTATCTTTGATTTCACCCCACCTTTCAAATCCAGTCCCTTTACACCTATATCCAACTTTGGTTCTAGTATTCCTCTGCTTGCGACCGCATCTTTGGGGCCTCCTGGAAATCCTCCTGGGCCTTTGATTGTCACAGATGGAGCTGTTGCATCCAGTTGAGGAACCTCAATGTCAGCACCTGGAGATGATATTCCAAATTTGGGCATTCTCATTGCAGGGAATGTAAGATTTCCTTTGCTGTCATCATCGAGACCTGGACTTGTCATCTTGCCTTCAATGCCTGAGGCAGGGACCTTTACCCCTGCGCCTTGAAACCCTCCCAATTCCCCTTTAATTTTAGGACTTTTGATATCGAATTGCAGTCGATCCCCTGTTTTCCCATTGATTTCAGGGCTGCTGAAATCTGTCTGACCTCTCAAACCTTTACCCATGATGTCAGAGACTTGGATATCAGGTTTCCCCATCTTTGGCTGCCGCACAAGGGTATCGGGAACACCTGCCTCAAATTTTCGGGTAGGCAAGTCAATCGTTGGTCCAGAATATGTCACGTCATAAAATTTCCCTCCTTCGTGGGAGGTTTTTCCAAAGCTGGTTCTCCCAGGCGAATCCACGTGTGGGATCTTGATGACAGTTTTCCCAGGTTCTGATTCAATTCCAACATTAGAAATCTGGGTAAGTTCATGTTTAGGAATTTTGATCTTGAACTCAGGACTGCTGATGTCAATCTCTTTGGCACCTTCGTGGCCGGTAACATCAACAGTGTAAGCTGTGACTCTTTTGGTAACTGTGATGGTCCTGCTTTGAGTTCCTGCATGCTCAATTTCTGTGCCATCTTCTGATTTAAGGCGAGGTTTAATTTTCGTGGTGTAAATCCGCTGATACTCTTCATCATCTCCACTCTGAAAGGAAAAGGAATTGTGTATCAAACTTTCTGCTCAAACTAGTGCGCTTCAACAAGGCAATCATTGATGGTAGCAATCTGTATCAAACAACATCCCAAAATGTCTACAGTGATACGTCTCATCATTTCAAATATTCTTGCTTAGAACATAAAATAATAGGGTTGGAAAGGAAGATTGGGGGTCTTTTAGTCCAAACCCCTGCTCAAGCAGGAGACCCTGTACTATTCTAGTCAAATGGCTGTCCAATGTTTTCTTGAAAACCTCTAGTGATGGAACACCCACAACTTCTGGTGGCAAGCAGTTCCACTGGTTAATTGTCCTCACTGTCAAGAAATTTCTCCTTAGTTCCAGGTTGCTTCTCTCCTTGATTAGTTTCCATCTGTTGCTTCTTGTCCTACCTTCTGGTGCTTTGGAGAATAGGTTGACCCCCTCTTTTTTGTGACAGCCCCTCAAATATTTGGAAAGCTGCTGTCATATCACCCCAGGCCTTCTTTTCACTAGAGTAGCCCATCCAATTCCTGTAAACGTTCTTTAGCCTCCAGTCCCCTAATCATCTTTGTTGCTCTTCTCTGCATTTTCTAGAGTTAGTTCAACTACACTTACTTCATCTGGATGTCTATATTGTACAATATCAGAACATCCAGCCAAGTGGGATATCTCTGCCAAATGTGAGGTATTTGATATTGTTTTTCTGGGCAAAATGTACAAAATATAAGCGGCTTGGTGGCACAATGTTGCTCAAGACAAGAGGACAATGTGCCACTTTGACAATATCAAGCACTTGATATTTTTTCATTCTCTTATTGCACGCACGCACACACACACACACACACACAGTATGATTGTGTGTATGCACATTTAATTCTATGATTCCCTGAAAGTATTGCCCATTTCTTACCTCCACCCACCAATGTCAGGTTCTTACCTTCCACCAGCCTGGAAATACATCATGGACAGGTTCAAAGAAACATGTGCCATTCAAATCCAGATTGGCAAAATACAAATCAGATATTTAAAAAAACCATGCTTAATGTCATGAGCTGATTCCACCACAGTCAAAAAACCCTGGAATCTTACAGATTAAATTTTTAACAATTGTTAAATCTGGGATGTTGTTTGGCAGGTGCCTGTCTATTTGAATTCTAAAGTCCCGGAGCAATTTAGCTTCTTCATTTCCTATGACTTTTTCTATTGTATGGTTCCACCAGTTCTTGTTTATACAGGTAGTCCTTGACTTACAATCACAACTGAGCCCAAGATTTATTTTGCTAAGCGAGACATTTGTTGAGTTTTGCCCCATTTTATTATCTTTCTTGGTACAGTTGTTACGTGAATCAGTGAAGTTATTAAGTTACTAGAATCTGGCTTCCTTACTGACTTTGTCAGAAGGTTGCATGTTAACTCCAGGACACTGCAACTGTCATAAATAGGAGCCAGTTGCCAAGAATTTTGATTACATGGGGATGCTGCAATGGTCATATGTATGAAGATATATGTAAGTCAGTTTTTCCAGCACCGTTGTAACTGAAACATCACTAAAAAAAATGGTTGTAAGTCAAGGACTATCTATAGGCAAATGGTATTAAGAGCCTCTCTATGAGGGAGTTCAGTGGTTAAGAAGCTCCATAATTAAAATAAAATAATAAAATAATATAATAAAATAAAATAAATCAAATCAAGTCAAATAAAACAAAACAATAAAATAAGTAAAATAAAATAAAATAAAATAAACCAAGTCAAATAAAATGAAATGAAATGAAATAATAAAATAAAATATAATTCCAGTAAAATAAAATAAATCAATTAAATCAAATTAATTAAAATAATAAGAAAATAAAATAAGTAAAATATAATATAATAAAATAAACCAAGTCAAATAAAATAAAATACTAGTAAAATAAAATAAATCAATTCAATTCAATAAATTAAAATAAGTAATAAAATAAAAAATAAAATAAAATAAATTGGCTGGAGTTAGCCAGGTGTTTAGATTGGATTTGGCATTTTTATGCACCTACTGAGCACTTCCTACTACTATTATTGTTATTGTTGTTGCTATTATTATTATTATTATTATTATTATTATTATTATTATTCCTCCTCCTCTATTATCTTCCACTCTTGGCTCCAGCTGAGGGAAACTTTTCCCTCAGGCCGGCTCTCCCTGCCCTGTTTTTTCAGCTGCTGCCTCCTTTCCTAGCTGCCTCTTCCCAGCCAGGCTGCCTTTTCCCCTCCCCAGTTTTTCTCTTTATTTTGAACCCTGGGCTTTGGCTCCATTGGTGCTGGAGCCCCTTCTTCATGAGGGCCTCAGAGCTCCCAGGTAGCCATTTTGTCTTCCCTCCTTCTCCCCGAAGCCCAACATGGCTGCTTGACTAACAGCTGCTGTGTGATTAGTAGCTGCTGTTTGATTGGCAGCTGAGTCATCCTGACAAGGGGAAGGGGTAAGGCTGAGGAGAAGGCGGGACCACAGGGACCCTGGGGCTCAAGGCAATGAAGACAATGAAGACCATGCGTCACTATCCTTGTGCAAATGCCGGCAGCTTCTGGCTGCGCACACCTGCACACAACTGGATCCTCCGAAGGCCCCTGCAGCTAGCTTGCCCTCAATCAGATGATTGTTTGTGCAAGAGAGCCATGAATCGATGTTTGTCAGTACTGATCAGCCTAAAGCAGCTAAAAGAAACAATTAAATAAGGGGGAGAAATGAACTTTTTTGCTCTCTGACCTTCTGGATACTTTTATAGATTTCTAAAAAGTAAAGAAAGAAACTATATGGGAGGGAGGGAGGGAGGGAAAGGAAGGAAGGAAGGAAGGAAAGGAAGGAAGGAAAGGAAGGAAGGAAAGGAAGGAGAGGAGGAGGGAGGAAAAAGAAGAAAGGATATTGAAAAGGAAGGAACGGAGAAAAAGAAAAGAAAGGAAAGAGAAAAAGAAAGAAAAGAAGAGAAAGAAAAGAAAGAAGGGAAAGAAAGAAAAGGAAGGAAGGAAGGAAGAGAGAGGGAGAGGAAGGAAGGAAGAAAGAAAGAAAAAGAAAGAAAGAAAGAAAGAAGAAAGAAAGAAAGAAAGAAAGAAAGAAAGAAAGAAAGAAAGAAAGAAAGAAAGAAAGAAAGAAAGAAGAAGAAAGAGTTTTACATGGGCAAATTATGCTCCTGGCTCGTATCTCTTGCCAATCAGCGCCCCCTCCCCAAATGAGAAAGTGAGCCCGTCTTTGGTCCTATCTCAAGGGGGAGTCTGACTCGAGCCTCACCAAACCACTGCAGTCCCTGGGACCTGAAATGCTCCCCCCCCCCAGTCAGCTTCCACCTTATGCTTGCTTGTGCTTGCAAAGAGGGGAGGGAGGGAAACCCACCCACCCCTTCATGGAGATGGTCCATCCTCAGCCTGCCTTCCCCAATTTGTTTTTCTCTCCCTGACGGTGAAATTGTACCAGACCGACTTTTTCAACCACTATTTGCAGGAAGTGGATCAAACCAGGTCTCTAATGCTCTCACTAATTATACCATGGCTGCAATAACAGAATGACAGGAGTTGGAGGGGACCTTGGAGGTCTTCTAGTCCAGCCCCCTCCTCAAGCAGGAGACCCTATACTATTTCAGACAAATGGCAGTCCTGTCTCTTCTTGAAAATCCTCCAGTGTTGGAGCACCCACAATTTCTGAAGGCAAGCCGTTCCACTGATTAATTGTTCTCATTGTCGGGAAATTTCTCCTTCGTTCTAGATCAATCTCAAATTTTAAGCACCCTTGACCTAGAATTAAATAAGGCACTCAAGATAAACTGAGCTTGTTGTGTTCCTTAAATATTCCACACGTGCACAGTACTTCTTCCATTCTTCTTCTTTTCACACTTACTCACCAAAACGACTTCTGGGCTCCTTGGAGGAAACATGTCATAGGAGCCAGACTGCCCTGGTAATGGGGAGCGGTCTCCCTTCCTCTGTAGCCGCAGGCCCACCGTATGATGACCCACATTTTTAAGGAGCTCCGAGACCTCTCCTGAGTGCACGTTGTCAAAATAGATGGTGGCGCTCACAATCTGGTCTCCTGCAGAACGAGAAAGGCCAGGATTTGGTTGTTAGATTAGGAAGAGCTTAAGGAGACATCAAGGAAAGGTAGAAAGGATAATGACAAGAGTTGGAAGGGATCTTGGAGGTCTTGTAGTCCAACCTCCTGCTCGAGGCAGGAGACCTTATTCCATCCCACACAATGGATATCCAATCTCCTCTTGAAGACTTCCAGTGTTGGAGAACCCACAATTTCTGGAGGCAAGCTATTCCACTGATTAATTGTTCTTGCTGTCAGGAAATTTGTGCTTAGTTCTAGGTTGGACCTCTCTTTGATAAGTTTACACTTTTTGTCCTGCCCACAGGTGCTTTGGAGAATAGCTTGACTCCCTCTTCTTTGTGGAAGCCCCTCAGATATTGGAAGATGCTATCACATCACCCTAATTCTTCTTTTCATTAAACTAATCGTACCCGATTCCTGCAGCCATTCTCCAGCCCCCTAACCATCTTTCTTGCTCTTCTCTGCACTCTTTCTAGAGTCTCAACATCTTTTTTCATATTGTGGTGATCAAAACAATGAAAGTGGTGCCACCACACAAGTGCCATCCCATTGGTAGGCATGTCATCTCACATGTGGACAAAACTGAAGGAATATACAGCATACACAAGAGCGTTAGATCTTGGATACTGCTCTTCCGTTAATGGCTGTAATGTGCTTTCTTTCAAATATTCCTCTAATTTGTTTGCATCTATTTCTTCTTGGTTATATAAATTCTCAAAATAATCTCTTGTAATTGTTTTCTTTTTCTCCAATTCCGTCTCTAATATCCCATTATTATCTTGCAATTGGTTTATAATTCTTTTTTGGTTTTCTTTTTTCAGTTTATACGCTAACCATCTTCTGGGTTTGTTTGCGTATTCAGAGTAATTTTGTTTTGTGTATAGCATTGTCTTAATTAAATCTTCCTGGTCTAATATATTCAATTCATGTTTAAGTAATATCAAGTCATTTTTAATTTGTTCGTCCCCTGGGGCTTTCATTAATCTATCTTCTAAATCTTTTAGTATTTTTATTAACAGGTTTTGTTTCTTCCACTTTTCTTTATTTCTCTTGGCTGTAAAGGCTATCGATATACCCCTTAGGTACGCCTTCATTGTATCCCAAAGAATTTGCAACGAGGTATCTTGTTTTTTATTAAATTTAAAAATATCTCTAATTCTTCCTTAATTTTTTGAGTGTATCCTTTTTCTTTCAATAGTTGTGGGTTAAATGTCCACCTAGCTTTCTTGTAAGTTTGGATTTTCTGCCCAAGTGTTGGTTAATATTTCTATATTTTTATATCCTTGAGTAGATCATTATTCATCCATGCCATATCTAACCTAGACCAGGATTTATGTGGATTGGAGTAGAAGGTAAACTGGACCACTTCTGGATTCAATTTCCAAGGAGAAATTTTCTAACAGTGAGAATAATGAACCAGTGGAACTGCTTGCCTTCAGAAGTTGTGGGAGCTCCAACACTGGAGACTTTTAGGAAGAGACTGAACATTTGTCCAGAATGGTATAGAGTCTTGCGAAGATGGTTGGACTAGAAGACTCCAAAATCCCTTCTGTTATTCTATAGTGACCCCAAGATTGTTTGACTAACCTTCCTGTACAATTCCTGTCTTGGCAGCTGGCGAGTCCTGTTGGATCTGCTTCACAAAGACACCTTCATCTGTCTCTTTGATGGTAATACCATGAGAGCTGCCTTGCCAATCAGGGAGTAGGATCTCCCGCGTACTCTCTTCTTCCTTGTCCATCTTAGGCACAGAAACAAGAAGCTGTCAATCTCCCAAAGGCTTAAAACATAAAAATAAGGGGAAATCCTATTCGAGAGATATTCAAATTGCGTAACACTTAAAACTAATCTGATGCTAGAAGTGTAATGGTTTATACTTACATACATACGACATAT